TAGCCCTGGAAGCTGTCCTCTAAGGGACCCCACCAGCCGCACCTCTTAGCCTATCTCGGTGCTGTCCAAGTATGGGGCCCCGGTCTCCTGCCACACTGTGGGTTCCCAGAGGAGGGGAACTGTGTCACCCACAGCCGTGCCCCCGCATTTAGCACAGTGTCTGGCACAGAGTAGGCACTCAATACATGTTTGTTGATGAACGATTGTGCTTCTTCTTCAGAACCTTCCATCTAATTGCAAACATGGCTTAGTATGCCAGGGAGCCTCATGATAGCCTGACACAGGCCCAGCCTCTCTAGGGAGACAGTTGCACCGGGAGGGTGATGGTTTTGGGGCAGTGCTTCAGCTCAGAGACAGGGAGGTCAGTCAGGCTGGCGCAGAACCACACAGAGCCCAGGGCTGGTTTTCTAGAGGGAAGGGTGATGAGGCAGAGGCCTGCTCTAATTGGTGTGGAGGGCCTGCTGTGTAGCAGCTACTTGGTGGCTTGGTGCCCTAAAGGTTCCATTTTGCAAGTTTCAACCCAGAAGTCAAGTCTTGCCTTGACTTCAACTTCACTTGCCTCAGGACTTACGCCAAGTCAGGCTTCTTGGACATCAAACTAAAATGAATTTACATAAGAAAAGGAGAGAGGCTCAACCTTGAAGAACTTCAGGGGAAAGGCTGGGTAGAAAAGATCCCTGAGGGGGTTGGCCACCTGCCCCTGGGAGTACTCAGAAGAGGGGAGAATGGGGAGGGAGGGTGTCTTGGCAGAAGGAGAAACAAAGTGTCCCCTCCCCCAAATTCATGGGCCCAGGAGTCCTCACAAGGTGACCCTGGTTGTTATGGGTCTTCACACATGCACTCAGTTCAACAGATGAAGTTACAGTCATAGTAGACTAGGGTAGGCCCTACACCCAGTGCCAGTGGGGATACAGGTACCCAGGAGAGTTTGCATCAAACGTATCATTGTGATGTGATGTTTCCATATGCCAAGGGATGCCAAGTGCTGTCAGGACCCCCAAGAAGCTGTGAGGAGCCTGGAGAGCTTCTCCCCCAGAGCCTCAGCAAGGAGCCTACCTTGCTTAGGCCTGAGTCTCAGACTCCTGGCCTCCGGCTGCAGGAGGGTGCATGTCTGCTGGTTTTGGTGCCCCTGTGCACAGTAAGTGGTGTGGCAGCCCAGGAACGAAGGAAACGAAGGAAAGAGGGGCCCGAGTTTGAGGATGCTGGGAACAGGGTGCTTTATAGCCCAAGGCCTAGAAAAGCAGAAGCAGGGGGATGCAGAAGCACACGGCTTGCGCCTTCGTCCGCTCACACGGGGACCTCCCGGTGGCTATTTGTAAAGCCTGCAGCAGAGGCTGCTGGGCTCAGAGCTTCGGATTTATACGTCAGTTACTCATTAAAGTATTAAGGCTTTGGGGCTTGGGGTGACCTGAAGCTAGGGCTGGCTTCAGGGAAAATTAAGCTGGTTGTATCTGCATTGGGAGTCAAGTGTATGACTGAAAGGAACCACTCCACAATTTAAATCGGACTAAACAAACACAAGAAAAGAGTATTGACTCATACAACAGAAAGTTCATGTAGACTTCAGGTATGGTGTGATCAGGGTGCTGGTCTGCTTATCTTCATTTGGCTTCCTCCAGGGACATCAGTTCTATTTCTTTTAATCTTTTTGATCCAACTAGGTTTTACATCTACTCATTTGGAGCTGAATTCCAGCAAGAGATTAAAGTGGTCACGGTGGAACAACATCAGTCAGCTGGCTTAACGTGGAAGCGGGGCCTAAATATGTAAGTGGTGTAGACTGTATGGCCTGTGCCTCGGAGGCCTCCAGTCCTCAGGGCTGAAATGGGCTTAAGAGCACGTGCTTCTGTGAGGTGTATCTCCGGTATCTTCTTCCCGTGAGTTGGGGGTGGGGGTACTGGCTGTCTGGACAGCCCACTCAGAGTTGGGTTATTGACCCCTGTGACCCAGTGAGGCTGCCAGATTCCTCTTAGAAAAACTGAAACCCGGAATGGATGGGGAGTGGAAATGGAGCCGAAAGAACTGTTTGCTTTGACAGTTGCCAGAGTGGGGCTGGGACCACAAGCACACAAGAAACTTCAGGATGGATGCCAGGACTTAACAGAACGTTAAAGGGCGGAAACGGGGGAGGGGGTGAGTGAATGAGCCAGAGGCAGAGACAGGCTGCCTGTCTCCTTCCCTCCCACTCAGCCTAGGTCAGTCCTTCCCTACATCACCCCTTTTTGTCTAAGGAAGGCTGACCAGCCCCAGGAGCCTTAAATACAACAGCACTCCAATCCTGGACGCCAGGAGTAGAGCCCAGCAGCTCTGAGGTCGCCTTTGACAAGCTGGGCAGCCCCTGCCTTTCTGCAACATCACCTGGGTAGCACCAGAAGCCATTAGGAGCTTTCAACGCTTACGTGCCAGGAAAGGGAGCAGGGGAGAGGACAGGATCAATGTCCCAAGCCATTACTACTGAGAGTTTTGCTGTTCTGAGAATCGGGGAGGGGAGAGCACAAGTCAGTGGCAGGCTTCCTGAAGGACTCTCTGGGCAGACACTCCTGGTAATGACGGCTACCCGGAGACACACTCAGGGCGACGCGCAGACAGGCTCGCTCACGCACAGCCTGGATGCAGGCTCCTGGAAGTACTCCAGGGAGGTCAGAAGAGCCGCTTCCATGGGCTGTCTCAACTCCAGGGAGAGAGGGCTTCCTAACGACCTGATAGGAAATGTAACAGAAAGGAAGTGGGGCGAGAAAGCCTTGTTGGGGTAACTCACCGGAGATTGGAAAAATAGCTGGTGATGCGCGTATACATGCATTCACCAGTCACTGCATAAGGAATCTGCATCTCACTGTGGAGTCATGGAATGCATCTGCCAGAGACTCACTCAGGGCTGACTTTGGGGCGCGGCTGCAAGCACCTCAGCTGGGCACTTTGGGGCTGCTTAGTTGCCAAGTCTGATCCCCTCTCCACGGACTCCAGTAGGAGACTAGAGTCTAGACTGAGATCAGTAGAGCATCTTAAAATTTCCTGCGCATTATTTTATGAGCCTTGAAATCAACACTTCTTTAATATTTTTTATTCTTTCTTAATTCATCCATAAATGAGGAAGCATCTACTATGTATCTGGCATGCAACGGGCACTGAAATTGGCGGGTCGCAGGACAGGACACCCAGCTGCCCACAGCAAGCGGAGTCTGACCAGAAGGCTGGGCCACCCGCTGTGAACACGGGAATCCACAGGGGGTGCGGTCTGCCCCCCTTGAGGACAGCAGGACAGCCACCTGGTGTTTCAGAGGCTGACCTGTACATGGGTGAGCTCCCAGCCCACCCCAGACCTGAGGGGGAAGATGCCCCTGGCGGGGGAGACAGTAGTGCTTGCTCCTGGGGAAACTCTGACTCCTTCCTCCTTTGCACTAGAATATTTTGGGGGAACAGCATCCACCCTTTCTCAGAAAGAGCAAAGGCTTCAGATGCTTCCAGACAGGTCCAGGCTCTCATCCACCTCTCTAGACTCAACACAAAACTACCTAAGAGTCCTGTGACACCCAAGACTCCTCTCCAAGTCCACGGGGCTGACGTCAAGTCCAAGTCCCAGTCGGTGAGGTGAGGGCAGCCTGGCAGAGCGCCCCGAGAATTCCTTCAGGTTACAGGCTTTCTGCAGTTTTACTGTCTTGCTTTGACTTTGTCATTAAACCTAGCGCGGCCCTTGATCTTCTCTCTGCAGTGCTGACTCCCCCCATCCTCCCCTTCCCCATCTTTTTAACCTGTCTGACTTCTACTTCTTTTCTCTCCCAAGGCCCAGACGTCTCCCTCTACACTTCCACCGCCTCCTCTTTGGCATGGGGGGGCTCCCTACCTTTGCAGAGAGTCCCAAAGCTGGAATGGAAGCTGCCAGAATTAACTGACCTCTTCCTCTAAACATTTTTCTAAATATTGCTCAAAAAAGTTGCCAAAGAGGGAAAGTCCCATTGCAGGCGTAAAAACTGTACAACCGGAGGTTTCTGTTTTCAAATGTTTCCCCTTTCCTGCGCTGGTATTCAGCGTCTGAGATGGGCCTTCTGCCGCTCAAGACATGCCCGCTCCCCCACTTCCCTGCAAAGGAGGAAAGGCAACCCCCCTACATATCTGACCCCAAAAGGAGCCAGTACCCCCACCCAGAGTTCCAGGTGGTTTGGGGCGG